TTACGAACGGCCTCAGCCTGGTTAGTAGCGAGTCTACTTAAACTAGCCTGCAGGTCAAGAGCTAACTATTACTGACGGATGATTAAGACGTTAAGTTAGATGCGGGTGGGCGGTAGACGGGACATGTATGACATAGGAACCGATAGATGAATTGGATAAATAGTGGGCGAAAGATGAAAGATGGGGGGTCAAGGGAATGGGGCATAAATGTCTAGTCGGTCAAATAGGGGCTAACGGGGGTGTTGGTAGGGAACACATTAGAAGGGAAAACAGGAACAGGAACGGTCATCTCTTTCTTTTTCTCCATACACTCCCCTGAAACGGTACATAAATAAGTAGGAAAAACATTCATGTCACTTCTCTGACCCATGCTCGCTGGTGCAAATCGATAGATATAAGAAGTAAACGAAAAAGGAGGGATGAGTGAAGGGATAGGAAATGGTGAAAGGAAGGGAAAGGAAAGGGACAAATGCTATTTCCAAATCAAACCCTTTCTCTACAATATAGCGGGTCTAATTTTTAGAATAAGATGGATACATGATTTTGGGGGCATACATGACTTCTTTTACCAGGGGGGTGGAGGGGCGGAGGACAAGGTAGGGGGACGGAAACCTTTTCAGATAACTAGATTCGAGGCATAGTGATGAAGGCGGGGAGGGGGGTTAGGGTAGGGGAAGGTAGTGGGCAGACAGGTAACGGAGGGGGGGGCTGGGGGACGACGCGAATGTGATGCGATTCGATTCGATGATAGTGGTTGGGGGGAAGCAACATCAACTGTAGGAGCGAGGCAGAATTGGGCGGCATGCCGTAGGATACGCTGTTTGGTGCAGGTTTCCTGGATAGCCGTCTCTGTGAGTGTCTGTACTGCCTTGCAACGTTTTTTTAACAACGAAAGCATCAAAATAGCGGCAAGTTCAGTTTTTCTCATGTAGACATGCATAAAGTGCAAAAAAAAAGAAGCCCCTTAAGACATTGAAGCAGCAGTAGCAAGGCCAATCTGGCGCTTGACTTGTCCTCTAGCCCAGCGAGCAGTCTCGATGGTCTGTGGGCCGTATTCACGGCTGGTTCGAGCTTCTCTTATGAGGGCAGAGACGAAGTCGTTGCGGAAGAAGGATGCATATTCTCCGTTGGGGAAGGCTTCGGCCAGGTCACCGATCACTCCCATGCTGGCGCGTAGGAGGCCCTCACTACGAGATGGTTCCTGTGCCACCAGGTGCAAGAGCTGGAAGATCGACTCGACGTATGGCTGGAGGATGTTTACGTTGGGAGCACCCTTGTATGCGAGCAAGATACCACCCCAGGCGTCCATGATACCCTCGCGGAGGGAAACGATGTAGTCGATCATGTCGTAGGAGACGTCATTGCTGGCAGTGACGGCAGAGGCCTGTTGAAGGACCTGTGCAACTACGGACAGGTAGGTTTCAAAGTGTGAGCCAATGGCCTGGGCAATGTCGCCGAATGTTTCCAGGATGGCGGGCTTGAGCTGGTTGGACAGGTTGTTGCTGCGGAGATTGTTGAGCAGGTGGTTCATGAATGCGTCGCAGAACGGCTGCACTTTTTCTCCCAAAGAGCGAGTGATGTCGCTGACCAGGCCGATAGCCATGGCACAGAGACCGGGTTCTTCCTGGTTGGCAAGGGCGTTGTACAGGAACGGACTGAATGGCTCCATGTATTTAAGGAAGTCCGCCTCTAGTGAGCTGGCGAGTGAGCCAACGGTTGCAAACACGGTGTCGGGCACACTGGACTTTGGTGGGATTGTAGTCAACACCTGAAGAAGCACAGTCATGATGCGGTCGGCTTGTGGCTTGATTTCAGCCTCCAATCGTTGGACAATAGCCTGTCATAGCGGTTAGTTAAAAAGAGTTACGATGAGTACTGGATAGGTACGTACTAGGAGAACGCTGGTCAAGCTGGTCTGGAGCTCTTCTAGAGTGATACGGTCCTCTACGCTGACGACCTGCTGCTGCATTGGCACGGTCTGCTCTAGTCTCTGCAGGATAACATCTGACAGGTTGGCGATGATTGGCAGAGAGTCATTAGCGGCGTTGGTCACAAAGGAGTTCAAGACCTCGTATGCAGCAGTTCGTAGTTGGTTATCAGCATCAGTTCTACAGACATTATTAGTACGAAAGACATCATGATTATTATATGTTTGCTTTAAGAGGATTTTTGAAATACCTTTCAGTGACAGACAAGAGCGAGGTGACGCTGTCTTGGAAGTGCTTGCTGAGAGGGTTGGTTTGAGCCCCAGCGTCGCCGGCGAACCGATCTGCAAGGTTCATGAGGGCCCAGCAGCAAGACCCGGCGATCTTGGGACTGCTCGCGAGGCCGTTGAAAAGGCACGAAATCAGCGGGTGGAGGTGCACGTTGACCTCGATGGCGCCAGAGCAGTAGTCGCAGATACGGCCCAAGGCATAGGCAGTAGAGTCTCTGACATGCACGACCTTGTCTTCCATCATTGTGATCATGACGGGCAGGGCCTGGCGGACAAGGGGCACGAGAGTTTCGTGCTCTGGACCGTCCATGATGGCGCCAAAAGCCGAGACGGCAGCGTCACGGTGGTGCCAGTCTTCGCTACGCAGGTTCTGCTCGACGAACTCGAGGACGGGGCCGACAAGCTCAGCCTGTACGGTCTGGGCATAGAGCTGCAGGGCCTGGTAGGCAGCGCGGGAAACGTCGTAATCATCGTCACTGGCATCTTCGTCCTGAGTGGTCATTAGCTGCAGGAGGACGGGGACGACCTCTCTGCAGGCGATGCGGGCAAAGCTAAAGAACGGTCGGATCTCTGTCGACCCTTCAGCTTGTGCCTAGACATTGAGAGAGACGTTACGTGTTAGCTCTCTAGTTGCAGTAGAATATGGGCACGAGAAAAGAGGGCAACGGTACCTGGTTGTTATCATCATCGATGGAAAGCTCTTCTTCACAGACGGTGCACCAGAACTCGATAGCAAGCTTGGCCACGTCTTCCTCCTCGCTCTTCATACCCATAATCGTTAATCCAAACAGCGCCTTTTCCATGTAGAAACGCATCTTATCGTAGTAAATGCCCATGATTCTGTTCAGGCAACCAAAGGCGCCAGCCTGTATCCGCGTGTCCTCAGCCTGTGTGGCCTCGCAGACAACCTGCATAATGTAGTTCCGCTCGCCCTCGTTCTCGAAGTTGGAGCGCACGAACTCGATGGCATCGCTGAGCGCGGAGATGGCAGCATTGCGCACATCTGGGTTCTGTTCTTCCCGCCGCGCTCCCTGCACGACGGCCGTGAGAATAGCGTTGGAATGGGCGCTCAGGCTCTCGCGAAGGTCGGGCTCCTCGGACTCGCAGATGAAACCGATCGTAGTCAGCGAGGCCTGTTTGAGGTGGTCTGAGCCGGTGCTGATGTTCTGGACGAGCAGGTTCATGAGATCCTGCCACTCATTGCGGGGCAGCTCTATGGCCGCGATGGAGGCTATGAACTGGCCGGCCGACTGGCCCGCGCGGGTGTCGGATGCGCCCAGTGTCTTGAGAGCGAGCTCCTTGACATTCTTCTTGACCTGCTGGTCGACGCCGTGCACCCACCGGCCCTGGACCTCTCGCAGGCGGGCGATATCTCGGAAGGAAAAGGCGTTCTTCAGCGCCAGACCAGCGGCCGTTCGGATCGACGAGGCAGCATTTTCGTTCGCTAGCTCACCGGCCAGGGTCGTCAAGTATCCCGCCTGTCAGTCTCTGTCAGTCTTGCAGCCCAGCACAGCGTAGAGTAGAGAGCCCTATAAGGGGCGGTGGTGGTGGTAGTAGTAGTAATAGTGTGGGATACGCACAAAGTCGACCTCTGCGGCGTGAAGTAGCTGCTGTTCCGCATTCTGGCGAGTAGCGGCATCTGTAGAGCACGAGCAGCATGTTAGCACAGAGATCTCACGTCTTTTTCTCTCTCTTCTCCTCTATCTCTTCGCCTGCTTGAGTCTCTCTTATTTTTTTTGTGAAGTATTCCTCCGTCTTTCCTACGTACCGGCAGAGAGGGTGCTGGCCAACACCTGATTGACGTCCATGATGGAAGAGCACGGCTGGACCTTTCGCAGCGGGCACTAGACGGCAGACGTCGAGATCCTAGAGAGAGCGAGAATAATAAACAGAGACCGAAGAAAAAGGTGCAGCAGACGCAGCGGGATCGAGAGCTCGTAAAAAGGAGGAGTTTTTGCCCCCCTCCCCTGCGCGTTTGGCTATCTATCTCGCTGGAGACGGACAAAAGGGCGAGGATAAGAAGACCGACCGATAGACGAAGCCGGCGAGCAGTAGGTAATTGGGCGTCCGGTCGGAGCAGCGAGCGAGGACGGGGGAGAAGAAGAAGAAGAAGCTGAATATTGACTGAGGAAGCGAAGGGAAGAAGGAGAATGTGAAGAAGTGAAGAAGTTGAGGATGTTTTTGTTGTTGACAACAATAAATAAAAAAAAAATTATTATTTTAGGTGCGAGCGAAGAAGTGGGCTTCAAGACAGACAGAACAACCAACTACCTACGAGACCACTAAAGGGCCTGTCTAGACATTATTTAATAACTATAACTGCTGGCTATTTGCTGGTGAACTAGTTGCAGCTGGAAGCGCAGGAGAGGCGGTGTTTTATCTGGATGCTTCTCCGTGTCTCTGTTTTTGAGCTGCGGCAGACGCAGGGAGGCCGTTGTAGTTATTATTCTTAATACCAGCAGCTATGAACTATGTATGTAGTTAGTTAGTTACGGACAGGCAGCAGGCGAGCCAGGCCTATGTAACTAGTCCAGGGCGCTGTCGAGGTCCAGGACAGAGTAGCGCCGTCCGTCGGCGTAGAGGACGCAGACAACTCGCCGTCCGTGCCGCCCGTTGACCTCGAGGTGGACGGGCTCTCGGTCGCTGCTGGATGACGGTGCGAAGCTGTGGCAAACCAGGCGGTCCAGGGCCAGATGGAGGCTCCCAGCTGGCTCGGCGGCGGTGAAGTCGATCTCAACCTTGTCGTGCTTGCTGTGGAGGTAGGGAATGCTGACCAGGTGTGATACTAGGGGGTTGTTAGACCAGAGCATGTAAAGAGAAGAAAGACAACAAGAAGAAACATGCCTTTGGACTTCCAGAGGAGCATCAGAGTGCCGTCTTCAACGAACTTGAGGTCCTGGATGCTGCCCGAGCCGAGCTCGACGGTGGCCTGGAGGCTGGCCTTGGTCGAGCTCACCCCGTTGACAACGCTGAGGATGTGCCGGTAGATGTAGACTGCCAGTCAGCCAGTTAGCATCTACTGGCTGATATACGGAGGGAGGTTAATGGTAAACATCTACAGGCCTGACATACATTTGTGTGCGGTGGTGCGAGATCGGGATGCAGCATATATTGAGGGCAGGCTTTCACCTTCGTACTCCTGAGAAACGCCGTCAGCCAGCTTCACCCGGAAGACAAGACGACGCACACTCACCTCAAAATTCATGGCCATGTCGAGGAAGGTAGCGTCACAGTCCTCGTTCAGCTTGAGAGCAGACCGGAATAGCGTTCCTCTTCGCTGTGTCTCTGCTATCTGCTTGAACACCTGATCACACTCTGCCGAAAGCCTGGCAGTCAGGTCACCCAGCATCGGTATCGATAGTCCTTCGGCTGATCTCTGCGACTCATGCTGCGATACTACTTTCTTGTATTCTTCGTAAAATGTGCCGTCGTCCTGAATATCGACATCCCATCGTTTCCTGTCTTCTGGATCTGCCCCTGGTGCCCCTGGTGCCCCTGGTGGTGGTGGTACCTGCAAAAACCCTTGCAAGGCACTGTTGGTGAGTGCCCCCTTGACATATCCCAGCGTTGTGCCATAGTCAATCTCGTCTGCCGCCTCTACTAGCTCATCTATCGTCGATGATGTTGGATCCGTTGACTGGAGCTTGATCTCATGCTGCATCCAGTGGGAAAAGGCATGGAACTCCTTGAGCTCTGTGCTGCTGTGAAGCACGACCTTGTGAGCTAGCAAGGTAAGGCAGTCCAGAGTTGCAACGCATGCCTTGAGATAGGTCGTCTCCAGGCCTAGGATCGGGCTGATGCGGTGGTACTTTGATAGGCCTATCAGTCGGCTTAGTAGCACGCCGCAGCGTTCCAGAGCTGGCATCAGACATTCATAGGCAAGTCGGCGGAGGGCTTCATAGCCACCAGCCACAGTCTTCTCCCATCTTTTTTGTCCCTACATTGTTTAGCATCAAAAGTTATTAAAAGGGAAGAAACAGTTGGCCAACATACTCTGTCGCTGATGGTGGTAGCGAGAAATTCCTTCAAGGGGGCATAGCAATCACCTGTAACTATTAAGTGATAGGTAGCCGTGACAAAATCGCAGTGGCACTGCTCCTTTAACTCTTCATTGATATTTCTCAGGTATCGGATAGGCAGTTCTCGTGCATTTTTCCACTCTAGGTGCATCTGTGCTTGCACTTGCTTGATATACCGGAGTAGATTCTGCAATTGTGTGACCTTCGACGCAAGCAGGGGCAGATACCTGCCTGCCTTGGTGATGAACCGTAGGTCTAAATTTAACAGTTTCATTCCGGCCTCGCTCTGGAAGAGAAGTGCATGCGTCGTGCTCATCGGATGGGATGCATGGAGCAGAGTCTTATATCCTCCTCCTTCGCCAGTATCACTATCTGACCCATCCAGGGAGCTAGACACGTCGATAGAACCGATCTCAAAGCTCTCGAAGATCCTCATGTGGATTGAGCCGTCATCAAGCCCGGCAAGCAGCACATCCACTGAGTCTCCAGGGTTCTTCACCGGAGAATGGAATATAGAGTCAAGAGACACCCTGCTACTAAACACATCGTCACTAGATATACCATTAGCATGGATGCTATCAACTAGGGGAAGACGGCCAACGTACTCATCACCCGTAGACGGCAGCGTACTCAGCTTCGGCAGCGAACCCTCAATGTCCAGCAGGGCTAGTTCACGCGGTAAATCCGCCTTGAGAAACCCCAGATGAGTAGACAGCTTCGTGTCAGACATCAACAGGTCATCTAGACTCAGCTTGCCCTCTGGATCCTTCAGGTTCTTCAACAGGCTATCCGTTTCTGCAAAGCTGACACCCCATCCAATGCATGAAATACTCCCGCTTGGCCGTTGCGGCGATGAGAACGGCGCCTGTGCAGGCTCTGCCGTCAGGATATGCACCATCTTCCCACTGTAGGAGCTCAACAGGCGTATCCTGTTATCCGAGCAAGCAACGGCCAACACCCGTCCTGCAGCAAGTCAGTTAGCCACTAAAGCACTCAAAAACAGGCAGGTAAAACCAGTAGGATAGGAGTATAAATACCATTCTCCTTCCACCTTAGCACTACGGCTCTCACGACGCCCTTCTCCCCGTCTTCCTCTCCCAGCCCATAGGCCCCGCCAAACACCCGCTGGCCGTTCAGCCTGTACACATTCACCTGCTCGTCCTCTGTAACGACTGCAACCAGGTCCATGTTAGGACAGTATGCGATGGTCCGCGGCTTGCATCTTGCAGTCAAGTCCTTTTCAGCCACCGAGTTGAGCGTTACAGGCTCTTCTTCTTCTTCGGCCGCGATGGCTGATGGGCTCGCTGGTGAAGCCATCGCGGGCGGCGCTACACACTCTCACGATGGACTGCTAATTTCGCGTGTCCGATGATTCTGGGGGTATATTTGCGCTTTGGTCTGCGCTCAACTGAATTAGTGAGTGTATCTTGCTCTTTTATGCATGGGGTTGGCGGTTGTTATTGATGGTGCTGGTTTGGTGTTTTTTTTATCTGAGGTTCGCTCACCACGAAAATGATGTAGTTACAACTTGCTGCTCGAACATCCAACTACAACGAGGTTGACATTTAGTAAAACAAGTAGACAGTTACTATTCTGCAAACGTTCTCTAGAATGAATATTTTTGTAATTCGCTTAATGTATCTACTGAATGCTCTGCTTTTAGACCGGACCCTGGCTAGTTACAATACAGGTCAAATTTTAGCAACACTCAAAAACACCGATTCTGCTCGATAAAAAACCGAAAGCGAGGCAGATATGCATAGAAACAAAGATAAAAGGCACGCTAAGAAGAGCAAAAGATTTTAGATCTGCTCGGGATACGCATCAATCATATCGCCGAGGTACCCCATATCGTCAATCAGCTCCTGCATCATGCTGTTGATGGTAGCTTCGGCCTGGTCACTGTTGGAGCTGTAGCCCTGTGTTTTGGCGCTGATGGTAGCTGAGGATGCATCGGTTTTCCCACAAAGACTGATCTTCTCGTCGCTGAAGGGATCAGATGTCATCCATGAGAAGGCAGGCTCTGCATCCTTGGTCTCGTCTTGACCGATATGCAGGTTAGACAGGCCGAAAGCGTCCAGATAGTTGTTGTGCGTAGAGTCTTGACAGATATCAGACAAGTTACTTTCTAGCGAGGTACTTGCCGAGAAACTGTAGTTTGCAGGAGAGTTGCCGTCGTTGTTCAAGGTGGACGATGATGTCATGGAGCATGGGGAAATTATTTCGGTGTCGGTGCTGCAGTCGGAGAAACGGCTTCCACATGGGAGTAGAGGGGATTCATGAGGGGAGGGAGTCAAACTCGGAGAGGAGGAGTCGACGGTGGACTTGGAGAAGTGGCTTTGTAAGTGGTTAAGGTCGAGGGGTTGGTATGAAGGTGTGGATGTCCATGTGGAGTTGAATGTTTCATCCAAGACGGAAGAGGGACTGTTGGGAAGTGTGGGAAGACGTTTGGAGTAGAGGTCAATGGGAGAGAGAGGCTCATGGACATCGAGCTTGCATGGTACTTCCACTGTTGAAGGATGTGTGGTGGCAGTGTTAGTAGCCGTGGTGTTCTGGCTGGGGCTGACATCGTAATTGACAGAATTCCTCAGCGGTGTTTGAGCAGGACTTCGGGACCTGGAGCGGGCTTGGGATTGCCCTGTTTGGTATAATGGATCCAAGGTATGGCAATTAGTCTTTATATTCGGGTGGTAGTTCGTATTCTCCTGCTCGGGAAACCTGTCGTCAATGACGAGGTCTGCAGGCGAACCACACGGAGAAGCTAGGGATGAAGAAGTGCCTGGGTATTCTGAACGAAGATGATAATTCTTGGTTGGGGTTTGATGACTCTGCTCAAGCACGGGAGTGTCTCTAGTCAAGGATATCTCTGGCACTTTCGTGTTCTTCTCCGAGGTCTCGTAGGTGGCTGAGCGAGGAGACACACGGTTGAAGAATGCAGTACGAAGTCCAGATGACTTAGGAGCAAGGCTGCTCATAGGGAGTTTCAGGTCTAGGGATAGTTTCCCGCCAACCTTGAACTTGCGACTAGCGGCTCGGGGCTGAGAGAAGCTCCTGCCATGCGTTTGAGGCCCAGGAGACGCGAGAGACCCACGAACTTCCTGCGGTGCCAGGGCAGCAGGAGAAGTGACCAGCCGGGGCAGTTGAGGGCGCGGTGGTGGCCTTGGGTTGACATACTTGTCATCAGGATTCATGGTCTGCGGAACCGACAGCTGGGAGCTTGCACTCCCGTTCCGGCCATGTGAAATGACTGATGGAGGTAGGTATATAGGGACGTTAAGCACGTTGAGCGGCTGTCCAGGTAGCAAAGGACACGATGTTGTCCAGGCTTCAGACTCATTATAAAAATCCAAGTCACCGTCAAGGACATACTATTAAATTCAGTCAATATATATATACTTTGATTTATCAGTGCAATGGGATACATACGTAGTACCAGTAAGTCCCGCCCATCTTCAGGCCACCATCTCGACCCGGATAGATCGGATTCCCGTGGCCATCGCAGATAATGTTGGTGAAGGTGTGGCATCCTCTCCAATGGCCTCTGCCGGTACGCGAGTCCTTTTCCATGGGGTAGCCCTTTGCAAAGTTGTCCCATGAGCCAAACAGGCGGACGGACCGGGTTGAAGGAGGAGTCCGTCTGCAAGTATCCGTCAGTGTCTATCCATTATAGCAAATATGAAGGACTGTCACTTACACAAGAAATGTCATTAACGTCGTGGTAGCCGAAGTAGCCATCTTGATGCGATTGACAACTGGTGGAACGTATATGAGGAAATGAAGATATGGAAAGAACAAAAGGAACAGGAAGAAATGTATGAACTGGAACCAGCCAGGGAGAAATAGATGCAATGAATGGACTGATGGGCGTAACTAAAGAAAAACACAGCAGCTTCGAGACAAGAGCTTCACTGCTCTATTGTCTGCGAGCTCTTCATCGTATGCAATATCGATGCCCTTATGTAGAATGTTTCTTTGCCCTGCCGCATCAGCTTTTTGTTTTTTCAATGCAAGATGATGCTATATTTATTTGACCTCAAAGGACCTGAAACCAGTCCCCTTTGGCAGCACTCTCGTTTCAAGATGGACAAGAAGAAGAAGAAGAAGAAGCTCTGGAAGATGCCGCGACTTGCGAACGCTGTCAGGGCTCTCTGGCACTGGCGCTGGCTCCGCCTTTCTTATTTTTGGATGCTGAGCATGGGGGCCCAGCAAGGGATAGCAAGGAATTGCAAGGAACAGACAGGGACGGCTTGCCAGGAAAATCCCCCTTGCCAGGATGAGCGAGAGACCGAGCCACTGAGCAAGCTTCATCGGGATCCCCAGTCTGTCTGCCGCGAAATTGGCTGTGGATATTCGCTGACTGTCGCTACGGAGTTTTTTCTGTCCCAATAAGAGTACGCAGCTCGGCTTGCTCAGCCGGCCAGCCATAGGCGAGAAGACGAGGATTTTCACTGGACTAGCAGTTCTTGACTTTGCAAGGTAGCCACTGACGATGATGATGGCCTGCGGATCTGGGTCAGCCAGTAGTGAGCGATCGTCGATACGGGGGTAGGACAGCCGTTCTTCACGCCTTCGTTCGTTCTTCCGCTCAGCTCGCTGTCGTACAAGGAGGCGTTGATGGCGGCCGCGGCTTGATTGGATGTCAGGGACGCCTCCGGGGCCCTTCTGGCGCTCGCTGCAGGGCAAGAGACGGTTCGTCTTCATGCATGTTGACTGTCTCATCTTCTGTCGTTTTGAAACTGTTAAGCGCCGGCGTCGTTGTTGGTCCTTTGCAGATGTTGTTGTTAGTCAACAGTTGAGACGTCACTAGTTGGTTGCTGGGATGGCCATCACTCTGCTGCTGGCTGGCATGTCTGATGTCTGCCATCTTGACATGCGGCCGTTGGACCGTTCCTCGTGCAACAGTCGAACCTGTTTATGGCTGGCTTGGGGCCAGATGCTAGGTTACGCCAGATGTCTCGCTGGTAATCTCTTGTGTTTGTGATGAAAGATGCCAGCTATCTAGTTAACCGCCGGCGCGAAGTGTTGGATGGGGCCATCCCTTGCCCTTAAGAGATCCTGATAATGTCGCCCTGCAGCTCGAAAATTAAGAGACCAGAGTGTTTCGGATATGGTGTTTAATTTCTCTACTTGTTAGGCTCAAGTATGTTAATTTAGTTGTACAGGAAGATAGGCCGGTTCGGACAGTTCCCGTGCAAGAGGAGAAATACCACGGCTAACGTGGCAGTGTAACGCACTCAGCGGAGCGGAAGAAAATAGCCAAAGAAAGGGGAGAGAGGGAGAAGGGGGGGAGAAGAATGGTCGCTCAAGGTGCTGAGGAGAAAGGAGAGACAGGAGGAAAAGGAGAAAAGACTACTGCCGTCCGCCAGTAGCGTTCTTTCGATCATATTTCTTGTGCACGGCACCGAGGACCACCTTCAAGACCCCGTCCGCATCGAGCCCGCCGCCAGCCTGTGTGCCATCCCAGGGCACAGTGTCGACCATGTCACGGATGTTGTTGTGGCCAGCTAGGGCGTCGTCCAACTCTTTGAGATCCGCCGCAGCCTCGGGGTCATTTCCAACCTGGAAGAACTGGATGCCTATCTGCCATGGCACGGCGTTGAGTTTATCCAATTTCTTCGCTGCCTGGATGATAACACTCTCAACATCGTCTGTTGGCACCCCGTCTGTGATAACGATGATGTTAAGTGGCCGCACCGCATTGTCTCGTTCATCGGGGCTCATGCTCTTCGAAGCTTCTTCAAACCCCTTCAAGTACGGTTTCAGGATATGATTTAGCCTGGTCCCCGTTGGAGTCCCGCCGCAAGGGCTCACGGCCGTAAACACTTCGCGCACATGTCCTGTGTCCCGGATGTTGGAGTATGCTCCATTTGAGGAGTCTGAGCGGTGGTTGAGGAAGTATATCTCTACCCCATCCTTGTCCTGAGCGGTGCAGATGGGGGCGACCTTGGCCAACGCGTTCTCGGTAGCTTTCCAACTGGCCCCTCGCATGCTACCGCTGTCGTCAATGAGGAACACGGTATCGAATTGGGCGAGAAACGAGTCTGGCCGGTCTGGACTCGCGGCCAGAGAGCCACCCTCGCTTGATGCAGCTGGGAAGCTTGGAGCCGTCGTCGAGGTGGTTGAGACGGGTGTGTACGCTGGCGGAGCATCTAGATGACTGCTTCCTGTAGATTTGTTACTGCTATATGTTGACTTCTGAGCAGGCGAATTCTGTTTATTCCGGCTCAGGAATTTTAGAGGTGACTTTGAACTCGACGATGATCCGAACAGCGGCATCTTTTATGGTAATATCGTGGTTTCTGATAACGGATGGAGATCCTCTAGACGTCTTTGACAGACTTCAAAGTTATTGGGGTGGTCAAATGGATGGTTAAGCAGTCAGCAAAGGAGCGGCTGCTCGGCGGTTAAATAGTCCTCTGGGTGAAAGAACCGGAGTGACTATCGCCATTCACCGGGAATTGCCCGAATAAGGCAGATCCTGCTCCATTATCCACTCTGTCAAACAGCATCTCTCTTCGAATTCAGAGGCAGACATCGTTGCCGCAGTGGGTGAAGGGCTATGCTGGTCGTCCACCCTCTCCCTGACCATGCAGTGTAGTTATTATCGGCTGTGATTAGCTCATGCACGGCAACCCTGCTCCCCCGTACAGAAAACGTGTCTGCGGCCCGGGTCCTGGCCGTGCTCATCATATGTCGCCATCCTTGCCATCCTGCCGCTGTGTTTCTTGTCTCTCTCTCTCTCTGACACTCCTGACACTGTCAACAAGATCTAAACAACGCCAGAAAAAACATCCTTCGTGTCGTTTTGAGTTTTGAGGCTGAGGTGAGGCTTAGCTTTGCTGACTAAGCATATCAACTGCAGTTTGACGTCGACGAGGAAGTTTATACAACCCGATGGGTGCACAAAAGGAGGAGTCTAGTGGTTATAATACCGAGGATTATGCCTTATCAGATGGTAACGTTGCTTAAACGGTCCGTATTCTCTCGTTGCATAATTCACAGCCTGGCTCGACCCATGGAATGCCCATAACCTTGAGCCTATACAACAACTCCGTGCTACTACACGAAATACCGAGGGAATAGAAAAGCCTTATGAGACTTAGACAAGGATAATATCACGGCTAGACCGGAGGGGCTGTCACCTGTATGCTTTCATAGCAAGTTACCGACATACCCAGCGGTTAGGATCCGAACTGTCTCCCCCCATATACACATTTCGGCGTGGATACCTATCATCACCACCTATCAGTATATACCCTTAATGGAAGAAGATGAGAGAAAACCAACCTGCAGTGCTTTCGGCGTAGTGAAACGCCAGATGTGATCTCGTCGTCCACAAATTTGACACCCTCAATAGTATCCGGTGCAACATCCTTCTCAACCCAATCAACAAGAGCAGCAAGGACATTGGTCTCCCCTTTGAATTCGATGCCTTCTGAAGCAGCTCCGCCCCCCTGACCTAGAACCCATGCACCCGGTCCTCCACTGCAATGAAACATGCCCGATATGCGAAAGAAGCGGAGAAAACGATCGAGTTGCCCAGCACTGCCGGCACCGTCAGACTGCAACAGATAATTATAGTATCGTTCGGTGTTGAAGCTGGTTATCTGGTTATCCTGTCTGCCATGGTACACGATAATCTTGCCGTTCTGGGCTCTGTACTCGGCTAGGTCACCGAAGTTCGGCCATGTTTTAATACCTCCCGGGTTCCGGGCTTCTGCAACCGCGGCATCATGTACGGTGAACGTCGATGCGTTCCATGACGGATTGTAAATGACATATTTGAACCATTCATCGGAATAGCTGAATGGTTTCCCGGCGTACAGCTTTGTGGTGGCTAGCTCTTCGCTGCCCGGCTGCATTGCTGGATATATCAATTCACCATCCTCGCCCATGAGTGGAGAAAATATCTTCCGCACAATATCAACTTGGACTTGGCTCAAGCAATCTGTTTCTTCTCCTGGTTTGCATAGGAGTGCATCAGCATCAAAGTGGCAGAGTGATGGGTCTTCAATGATCCCGTCCATCACCCCGTCAATACCATCACATTGTCGCAGTACCTCCCTGTGGATAAATGTTTTCCAAGCTCTTGCGGTGATGAAATCCGGTGACTCTACACTGCCGGTCAACGGGAAGAAGCTAGCTCTCCACGAAACCAGATTGTTGAAGTCTAAACCTGGAGCTCCGGCAACAATACCATCGAAGTCTTCAGGGAACTTCACTGCTGACTGAAACCCCTGCCTTCCACCGAGAGAACAACCTATATAGTATGACTTTCTGTGTGGTCTATTGTAGTATTGCGCCACAACCTCTTTTCCAATGGCTACGCTCGTATGTAGGCTTCAAGTTATAGTGTTAGAAAGGTAGGATAAAAGATACAGGAAAATGGCCACGTACGCTCTCCATGAGAAGTCGATTTGAACATCATAGTTATGATACATCGTCACGGCAGTCGTACCATTGTGTCCATTATTCGAACCGACTACAGCAAACCCGTTCTTCACCCCATACGCAAGGTCCTCATATTTGATGCCTAGATATGTCGTTAGAATGGCCGTAAAGAACCCTTGACATATACTCGCCCTGGATGAAATATCCCCAGATTGAAGTAAACTTACATCCGTCAATTCCACCATTCCCCGTACCTAGAAATCTTCTCCCCTTCCATTCCAAAGGCAGCCAAACTTCATAATGAACACCAGACCTACAAGATGTGGGGGTGTACAGAGTCACTCGGCATATATCTACAGGAACTACCTGGTTCGGCCTGTTGCATGAAGGGTCATTGAATGGAAGGCTCAGGTTTGTCCCCGCTGGTACGTAGGATATTGTTTCGGCATCTGGGAATTGGAGTGTTTCTGCGCTGCATCTTCTTTCCAATGGCAACGAGGTCGCTAGATGCACTGATGGTAGCAACAAGAGAAGTTTTGTCAATACAGAGAGAACCATGGTTGAAGGGTGGGTGTCTGAAGGCGGGGGATAGGGGCATATGCGACATAACCCAACACCCAACGTCTCCATAATGGATGAGAAGCGAGTTCGCAGATCAAGGCGGAATTGGGGCTAGGGAAAAAGAAATTATGGGATTCATGGATCTTCGGGCATGAGCTGACAAGGATGCGTGTTGATTCGTTACATACATGTTGGGTGTAAGTGGTTTTGGTAGGCTGTTAGAGATAGCTTCTACCTATAGCTAGTTAGTTAACTAAGTTAATCTGTGCAAAGTAGCCATGAATTAATTAGTTATCACTAATCAATTAAATAACCAGCTAATAACCTGCTGTTTTCTTAATATGACAAACGACTATTCCAGGCCCATACCATAATAGAAAGTTCTCGGGCTACTAAATCATCCATTTCAGACCTCCTGTAGTTGATTTGTAGCGCAGTATCACTCCCGTCAAGTTCCGCGGTAAGGGTCAAGCCAAATTTGAATACTCTCTAGAAAGGTAATACCTCCCAGTGGCCAACCTGGGTGTCATGCCTGTCCACGTTCGTAGGGGCCAGCTGCTAGGTTGCCTCTACCCCCCTGCCGGCTGCGTGTTGACCCCAGTGTCTACCTGCTACTTGCCAAATTGGTCCAAAGCTGACGTAGCGGTTGCCAGCTTAAGCCACGTCTCCTAGGCGTGTGCCGTCGCTCGAGACAGGAGAGCATTTGTTAACTGCAGACGGACCTAGGCTTTGTAGTGTTCGAGAACCGCGGCGTTACATTAGTTGACGATTGCGGGCAAGGCCATACGCTCTGTGACGTGCTGGTTTAGTCTGTCGTAGAAGAGGTGAGCAGTGTCGATGCATTTGCCCATTGTCTGGATAGCCCCGGCGGCGTTAGTTTGAAACTCAGGGTGAGGGTTGGAGATTTCAGAAACTTCCACTTTCCTTTATATCCAGACATCACTTGGCCCTCGGTTCCAGACGAAAGATTACGAGCCATTGAGTCAATAATTAGGCTGTCTAGGCCCAATGCAGCCTAATGACAACGCTGCATAACGGTGAATGTACTGTCTCAGAGCACCTGTTGTTCCCAAATAGCCTTCCAACTGCTTAAGAGTGGTTGGAAACTTGAGGTCGGCGATCGTTTTCATCTTGTCGGCGACGGTCGAGAGGCCTAGAGCATCCACTCGTTGACCAAGCAGGTCCTGAAAGGAAAAATTGGTATCAATGTTGTCTGCAACAAAATAGCAAACGAGGTACAAAGTCCATCTCCATGTTTCCACAATGGAGTAAAACCCGAAGGTGGTTGTTTTTCTAGTTCTACCTTCGCCTGCGTGTAGTCAATATATGGATTGACTAAAAAGCCTACCTAACTTCTATGCAGTGCTTCAAGTAGAAATTCCATCATAAAGAAGGATGTATAGATGGAATGTTCCCACGAATTTCTGTAAGTAGAGTCTAGTTGCTCCATCATACTTGGTGCAAGGAATACATGTGTTAGCATAAACGGACTAGGAGTGCAGAAGCATTGGGTAACAGGAGACAAACCGAGCATGCGACTGGGATGGTGGAGATAAATTGGAAAGAGCACTTATTGTGGTTGAGAAAGCTGATACCCAGAACTCTTATAGCAAAGAGGCAGGCAGGTATAGCAGATGGTGGTGTAGGCATGGTAAGACGGAAAGAGCAGCCAGAGGTAGGGTATACTTAACGGAAGGATCACTACGGTGAGCGAGGAGGGCGGGATTCAGTAGTATCGGAGCTGAAATCTATTAGGAGAAGCTTTCTCTGCTCATAGACAATATCAACGTAGTCATCGTATGGTATAGAAGGCCCGTTGCAAGCTATAGAAATACATTAGTTAAACATCTAAGATAATGAGAGATAACTTACGCGGCATGCTAGACGTTCTCTCTCCCATTTATTCATCGGACATGGCTCTGAAATAAGCACCCAATGCTTGGCTATCTAGCGTTTTCAAGCAGTCGCGGTCTATCTTTGGACAAGTGGCATATAGAAAATGGTTGGAAGCCGCGGAAAATTCTTGTCCTAGGCACCTGCACGCGCCGACTTCCAATACGCCTTATCCACCTTCGGATCTTCAATCGATAGATGTCTGACAAAGTCCTTATATTGGCAAAAGAGCTCTTGTCATGGCCATATCTTCAATGGCAGAACGAAATCTGTTCATATGTATGGAGTACTCTGTATGTCGCTGGCCTCTCAAATGTCCTAATAAGCTTTCTTGGAGCTTTAACTAGTTATAGTTAGCCGCGAGGCTTAGTTATGCATGCGCTATACCAGATTAAGTAGCTACCGCCAAGCCGCAACTCCTTAGCTTACTAAGCAGGCAGCTTCCAACTCGGAAGAATGTTGGAGATTCTTGCGCACAGTTGACACTAATGCATCAGACATGGAGTTGTTAAATTAGTTACCGGAGTCACAGTGTGATGCTCATTCGAGGATAGCGCGTGTCAGCAGACTGGATGATTATACCCGCATTGTTCTTAATTGTGTTCTTAATTGGTATGTAGGCCAATCAGTCATCTATCATTCACTTCATTTGTTTATTCCTAAATAACGGAGGAAACAGCTAGACTCGAGAGCCCATTCGAAGCCTTAAATGCACTCTTGTAAGATACGAGGATCCCCTCTTGCCAGGGGTAGCAGGTACATGTGGGCTTTATCCCCGAAGCATAACGATTCCTAGTTGCCATCAGTTTGTTGGAAGTATTATTTACGTATCCCGTGAGAGAAGACCGGAGTATGTTCAAATACGCTAAAGCAACGGGTGACCGCGGGAACAGGCATTCTGCCTTGGAACTGCTCCGTTTACTCTGCGTCATATTCGCGCTTGCCAGGCGACCAATGCTACATGCATGATGCTGAAGTGAAGCTGCGTGTCACTTTGCCATCCATTTACCGGTTCCGGCATAGACTGTTTAGCGGATCTGATACCCTGTCGCCCGTTACTATGTCAGCACTAACTGCATATTAATTTGCGGGGAAACCCCATCGACGGTTATTCCTGTTGGCCTTATTTAATGTCTCTACCTACACAAACTTTGGGTCATTTCCATTCTATAGGAATCTCCTTACGCTTAAATGGAACACCAAAGATATTCTAGCTTTAAACCTAGGGCCCAGGGAAATTGTCTGTCATGCATGATATGTGTAAAGATAATTCTTTTGGCCCAATTGCAAATGGCTGCCACCGTGGTTGGGACTTTACCTTGTTATTTGAAGACGCTATCTTGTCAATAATTCCATCATTACTGGTTTTGATCACTGGACTAGGGCGACTTGCCTATCTGCGGAGCCAATTTCAACTTGTGTTGGCTCGCAGATTTCAGCTTTTGAAGATTGCCGGTCCGTTTACTCGATCCATTCTCAATTTTATCCCATTTACGCAATTATTGAATCACAATACCACATAATGGATTTAGTTAACTAACGATGCGTTTTCTTAGCTTATTTGCTTTACGGAATGCTGCAAATAGCATTAGTGGCAATATGGAGCATCCATGACACGCTGAGGACTTGGTCATCCATTACAGCAGCGGCACTGTCACTTGCTACTTTCGCAATCTTGTTGCTACTCTCATATTTTGAGCATGGACGAAACATTAGACCGTCTTCCACTCTCATCATATACCTCTTTTTTTCTATGATGTTTGACGCAACACGAGCACGTACGGTCTTCTTAATAGAGCCACATTCAGTCATTTCTGCGTTATCCATTGCATCAACAGTCTTGAAAATGTTTATTCTGATCTTGGAATCATGGGAGAAAGCAAAATATATACAGCGACCCATTTGTGAAACGTATGGACCGGAAGATACCAGTAGCATACTTAACCGTGGCATATTTTTCTGGCTTAACCGCTTACTACTGAACGGGGCTAGATCTACGCTAGTTTCTACAGATCTTTACAGCTTGGCCCAAGGGATGGATGCCGATTCTCTTGGAACCCCGTTCCTAGATGCCTGGAAAAAGCTAAAGAAGAATCAGCGTGGGTATGCAGCCATCAGAGCACTTTCTATCTCTCTAAAATGGCCCATTATCATGGTTGTTCTTCCAAGGTCAATTTTGATAGGATTAACAGTCTGCCAGCCCATTTTATTAAACCGGCTTCTAGACTACCTGACTGAATCCTCGGAACCAAAGGAAAAGGACATTGGTTATGGCTTAATAGGGGCATATGCTCTTGTATACTTTGGGATCGCTATATCCACTGGATTTTACTGGTATTACCACTATCGAGTTCTCACTATGATCCGCGGGTGTCTGGTATCGGCTATTGGTGTGAAGACATTGCAGTTGAATACGCATTCTGTGGAGGATCCAAAAGCAGCTGTGACATTAATGAGCACTGATGTCGAAAGGATAATCTTCGGGCTACGGAGCTTTCACGAGTTTTGGGCAAATGCTATTCAGGCTGGCTTTTTAGCATTCCTTTTAAAGAGGCAGCTTGGTATAGCTTTTATGGTCCCGCTTGTTATCGCAATATTATCCTCTGTGTTGTCAATATGGGCAAGTCGTTCATCCGATACTTATCAGACAGCCTGGACAAGCTGTTCCCAACTCCGAATTGGAACCATCTCAAGCATGCTATCTTCGATCAAACCACTAAAAATGAGAGGGCGAACCGAGATACTATCGTCAATTATTCAAAATATCCGGTTACAAGAGATCAGGCTGGCCAATCGGTTCAGAATGCTTCTAGTATGGACCACAGGATTGGGCTATATTCCGCAGTTCATTTCACCACCACTTACATTCTTGCTATTCATTTTGAGGGCGAAGGGAAATGGGCAGCCATTTGATTCCTCAAGAGCATTCACGTCTCTGTCCTTGTTGTTGATCTTGGCTCAGTCGCTCAGCCAAACACTCCTTGACCTGCCTCCACTGCTTGCTTCATTTGGATCATCCTCCCGTATTGACAAGTTTTTATCAACGGAATCCCGGGTGGATATAAGGCATTTTCCTGCCCTGCTGGACGAACCGCGGAAGACAACTTTTGAAAAGAAATATCTCCCTGAGCAGACTATCATCGAAGTGACAAATGGGGTTTTTGGATGGGAATATGATAGAGATGTTCTCCACGACATCAATATCACTATCCCCCGGGGCCAAAGTACTTTTATTGTGGGGCCAGTTGCAAGTGGGAAATCCACTCTCTGCTATGCTTTGCTTGGAGAGATACCGGTATCAAGAGGCAAGGTTGAGATATTTGCCAATGCGAAGGATATTGGCTTCTGCCGTCAAACGCCACATCTAACTAATGAGACAGTTCAGCAGAATATAATTGGATTCTCGTTATTCCAGCCTAGTTGGTATAACACGGTTGTTAAAGCCTGTGCACTGGCTACTGATATTGACTCTCTGCCCCATGGAAATGAAACGAAAGTCGGAAGCGATGGAATCAACTTGAGTGGTGGACAGAAGCAAAAGATTGCAATTGCCAGGGCCCTCTATGCCCTGAAACCAATACTGCTCTTTGATGATGTGCTCAGCGGACTTGATTACACTGGGGCAAGCCACATCTTCCGGGAGGTTATAGGCCCAAAGGGGCTTGCACAGCAACACGGCATTACGGTGATTATTGCAACCCATGCCACGGAGTACCTCCCCTTTGCAGACCACATTATTGCTCTCGATAAATCTGGCCACGTGATTCAGCAAGGGAGCTTCCAATCGCTACGTTCCCAAAGTGGCTATATTGGTAGCCTTGCCATTGCAGAGAACTTTGAGAAAGAAACCGTTGCTCATGCTGATCAAGCGGCTGCAAAGAGTGTAGGTGCTTCTGTCAATAATGAAAAATCCGATGAGAACCTGCCAATCCGACCGTCAGGGGATTTCAGAATCTACAGTTATTACTTTAAAGCTGCCGGTATCTGGACATCATGTCTTCTACTGATACTGGTAATCTCCTATGCTACTCTATACAACTTCCCCACCTACTGGCTGAGGATTTGGGTGGACACTTCCACCCCTTCTCGGCCTGCAAGACTGGATGATCTGGGATATTGGGCTGTCTACACAGTTCTTCAGACTTCGGCGCTTTTCCTACTGCTTGGAGTGGCATATCATACCCTCATCCGTTTCGTCAGCAGAGCAGGCTCAAGCTTACACAAAGATATCCTCGACGTCGTTATAAATGCCCCATTGTCATTCTTTGGTTCAACGGATATCGGTGTCACCATCAACCGCTTTTCTCAGGATATTCAACTCGTCGATAACGAGCTACCTATGGCATTGTTAAACTGGCTGTTAACTGTATTCCTGGCTCTTGGTCAAATAATCTTGATTATCATCGCATCACCATGGGTGGGATTTGCCTTTATAGTCATTGTTCCGATATTATACACAATGCAAAATTTCTACCTACGGACCTCTCGCCAGCTAAGACAGCTAGAACTCGAGGCGAAAAGCCCTTTATACTCGAACTTCCTAGAGAGCTTGAATGGACTATCTACACTCAGAGCTTTTGGCTGGACAGCTCAGGCATTAGAGACAAGTTACAGGCTTCTTGATGAGTCGCAGAAACCACTATACTTACTCTACATGATCCAGCGCTGGCTTACGTTCGTTCTGGATGTAACCATTGCCTTTCTTGCAGTCATAATTGTGGCCTTAGCAGTGACCCTCAAGGCGAGCGGTGGGCTCACTGGTGTTGCCCTAACCCAAGTTCTATCATTGAACTTGATACTTACTTCGATTATTATAGCATGGACCGCTCTAGAGACCAGCATCGGGTCTGTTAGCAGAATCAAGCATCTTACTAAATATACCCCTTCAGAGCACAAGCATGGAGAAGTAATCCAACCTCCATTAGACTGGCCGCATCGTGGAAAAATTGATATCTATAACGTTACTGCTTATTACAAGTAAGTTCTTCCCAAACCGCCGAAGTTCCCAGATTCTTTTTTATTGACGTCTGCGCCTTATAGGTCTCGGCCTGAATTCCCAGTACTCCGCGGTTTGAACATAACGATAGAGGCAGGGCAAAAAGTTGGTATATGCGGTAGAAGTGGGAGGTATTACACTCCCAACGATTGAACTAGTTATAAATCTCTGCTAACAATGTTAACTTCAGTGGTAAATCATCTCTTCTTTTGCTCCTATTACGTCTGGTTGCAATTCAAGGTGGTTCTATTACAGTGGATGGCCTCGATCTGGCCAACCTCCCTCGCAACGTGATTCGGAGCCGGTTTAATATGATACCACAGGAGCCTGTATTTATCCCTGGTACTGTTCGCTTTAACCTGGATCCGTGTAGCCAACATTCCGATTATGAAATTATTGAAGCTCTGAAGAAAGCTCTACTCTTTGACGTGATAAGTGCTCAAGGCGGGCTTGATGCCGAATTCCAACCCAGCTCCTTGAGCCATGGCCAGCGTCAGTTATTTTCCCTTGCAGGTGCTACTCTTCAAAAGTCAAAGATCGTTTTACTAGATGAAATTACGAGCAAGTAAGGTCATGGCGAGCGTACTATGTATCAAGGCTGCCTTGCTAATATCAAGTAGTGTCGACCAAGCTACGGACGAGTTGATGCAGAAGATTGTTCGAGAAGAGTTTAAATTTTGCACCATTATTGCTATTGCCCACCGGTTAAACACGATTATGGACTTCGATAAAGTGATAGTGCTTGATGGAGGGCACATTGTTGAGTCCGGGAAACCGCAAGATCTGCTCTGGAAGGATTCTGTGTTCAAACAAATGTGGAAAGGCCCTGACTGATGGACCAAAGCCCAGTTCTAGGCTCTCAATAATCATTCCGATGATGAAAAGAGATAATATCACTGGAGAAAGCCCCTGGATTGTATAACCGAAAGCAAGTACACTCGATGAAACACGACGGACAACAACGCTTCTCTCGATTTCACTATGCCCGAGTCTCTTCTCCATAACTTCCGTGATATACGGGAGTAAAAGGAACAGAGAGCTGACACTACCACCTGGAAGGAGTAGAGGAAAGTAGGGTTTGCCAGAGTCCAGTGATATCGGTTTGCTGAATCAAGTCGGACATGACACCCGTCATCATGGTTAAGAGACTTCGATTTTTCGTGCCAACCCGCATAAAAGGCTCTTTTCAGTGTATGTATATCTGTCCTACACCGTATATAAGGGAGAAAGGTGTTACGAAGACACAGTTCTTCTTTAGTCTGAATATAAAATATAACTAGGTGTTAACATGAGCTAATATACTTAATATCAGATGTTGCCGTATTCCTCTCTTGGCTTGCTGCACATATCTGTGCTGGCCTGCTCAGAGGTAACGGTACGGTACATAAATACATACAAATTAGATATTTATGACTATAAGAACAGACGTGTTTCCCGAGATATTCAGCCCAACAATTGATTGTTGGGGCTTTAATAGATATTTCTCGTCACGTTGTCTCGTCCGATAAACGGTCTCCCAACTCCAGTAATAAATCTGAGCCTCCATCTCACAGGAGAGGAAGCCACAAACCATGGATTGTTGGGAGATTGCAGCACCATGTCGGAGCATAGTTGCTAAATAATAGGGCTCTGTCCTAAATACTGAAAACAAGGGCCTACACGGCCTAGGAAAGGGGCTCAGTGAAGGCAATGAAATGGCAGCAAAGTAAAGGAATGACCGATTGCCCAAATCGGGAGTAGATACCCACTGCCAGAGGTGGAACAAAACAAAGCGCTCTATCCCACATCTGCTGCCGCCCCTAGTCCATCGACAAATAAGGTTCAAAACAGGTCGAAAGGTCTGCCATTTGACCAAGAGTTGCTTCAGGAAATCTAGAGACTTGACTGCGTCCGCCGGTTAGGTAAAAGAGCACGTAGTGGAGCGGCGGGTATAGTGGGTACTCAAAGTGGGTGTATGGGTACCATCATCCTGCCTCCAATATATAAGGGCAGACACATTAAAGCCATTGTTCTCTGGCAAGACGTCTCGAGCGAGTTCTTAGGCGCTAGAACTTGACACTCCATCCTGTTAGGCTTGGCTTGGATGGAAAAGTTATATAGGCACTGCAGGCCCCCTGCGCTTTTGCATCCTTTTTAAGGACTCCGCAGGCTATCCTGCTCTGCTTGAGCAATTTGAGCCTGCTTCGTATGCTCTAGCTCATCCATCCTCCTCTTCCTATTCCGTATCTCGATGGAAAGAATATTTGAGTCTGTCGTGCCTTTTCCGGGATAGAGTAATTGAAAGCGACCAATATTATGCCTTGTAGGCGTTTTTCTAAGCCACCACGGGCCTTAGCACATCGTGGTCACCAAATGAAATGGTGTAATAGGTGGTGTCCAATCATCATCCTTAATATCTGAATGGTCACTACCATCACTAGAATGGCTAATATCAACACCTTTATGGAACCAAGCAGCTCCACATGATAAGGTACCTATCCTGGGGACTTAGAAGTGTCGACCGATTACACCATAAGGTACAAGTATCACCATTCCATTCTTTCTTTGAGAAGTCGGACAATCTGGCGTTGTTAAGAAGCATGAAACACCCATTCGTTAAGACCCAGGATAAGGTGATGACATGTTTCCGAGCCCCCAAGCACAACTTTTCTCTTGTTACCACTCATCACAGGTTATAGTATGGTGAAACTCCCCCGTCGTTGAAAATTATTATCAATAAACGAGGGGGCCGAATGAGCAGGATAGAAATGTAGAGGTTTTGTTGGCAAAAATGGGACACTCCACACCGCAGTCCTCTCGCGTCACTGTTCGCTGGTGGTGTATGTGCGTTGGGTAGCCGTAACAGGCGTTCCATCAGCATTGTACGAATTGGATAACAACCATCCCACCCCGGGCTGTGAAATACCCTTGCCGAACGATGAATGCACAGATTGACCGTGGCTTAAGTGGCAAGGACGCCGGATTTCATCTTCAAACAGACTCATAAGTTGAGCCGGCTCCCATGCCAGCCATCCGAACCTCGTGAGGACTTGAGTGCCATTCCCCATAAAATTTGGTACTCTGCAAGCACGGTGTCACAAGAGAATACAAAAACGCGAGCCTTGTAACCCCTCGTATTCAATTGGCAGGTATCCGGTGCATCTCAAGTGGCAAACAAATCGATTGAGCCGCGAGAGGTGGCATAGTGAGGGGTACTTCAAGATTGCGCGAGATTGCTTGTTTCAGACACAATGTTATGCCTGGTGGTGATGGTGGTGTACAGGACTGGGCTGGGCGTGTTGTGACTCGGTTACCTGGCACGGTCTTGTCTTTCTATCGAACGGGACGAGCTCGACGTCTTTATCCAGCTGTGTCGGCACCTTCAGTGGATGTTGCAGATGGAAAGTCGATACATAGTCGGTACGGAGTAGATCAGTTGCCTAAGTTAGGCATATGACCGGGATCCATAGTATTCCCAGTAGCACGAGGTGGTATTTCATTATATCTCGAACGGCGTTGCCACGGTTTATCCAGTATCCCTTGAGCACCTAGCCATGTATATAGCATCGCTTTCCGTAGCATAACTAGCACTGGCCAAGTGATATACGATGTACATAGAGCCTGGTGAAGTCTCACCCGACCCCAGTCCTCGGTCAACGAATCTAGCTGCATGACCGTTCTCTGCTAACGCCGCTGGTTCTACTATGGCAGCAGTCCAGATACCTCCTTCAGTGTTAGAGGGATTACCCTGAGCAATCTCTAGATATGGCCTTGACCACACCCAGCACCACGCGGTCTTCCTCTTAACACTTAGCCCCGGGATGGGCGTTTCTCAGTGGGTGCCATTATGGCTGCGTTCAATATGAAAATTGACGAGAACTATCGCATAGATAGTCTCCCTGTAGCTAGCTCATAGCATTATAGCGGGTTGTCTAATCAACGGGTAAAATAACGATAACGGTTTGTGGTCAGGTAGTGTGTAGTTCAAGAAATCTGGTTGTATTTTGTTTTTGTTTTTGTGCTTTGTTTTTGTTTTGGTTTGTTTTGGGAATAGAGAGAGCTGAATAATAGGGTTTTGCCACAAGATCACCTTAACCCATTTAAGGTTAGCGAAATCTACTTAGTCACTTATTATGTAACACATCCTAAACCTTCTGTAAAAGTCAAAAAAAAAAAAAAAAAAAACTACCGTCTTGAAGATCTCGAAGATCTTCGTGCAGACACCAGCTGGTGCAACAACGAGAAGGCCACGGGGCTTTGTGTATCCCTCTGCTCCAGGATGAGGGACCCCGAGAGTCACCCTGTTCATGGTAATAGCCATATTCTCTAAGTACTCCTCCAATATGATGTTATCGAAACTAACATTTCTATCGCAGTTTTCGACCTTCCACAGCTTTACACCAAACCCCCCGCAGATGATATCCTCCAGGCTTTGGACCTATTTACCATTCGCCCGCATACATTTTCCCAGTCTTCTGCTCAAAACATTACGCGTCTTCAAGATGGAGATATCTGCAGATATCTTACCTCGATAATCGGCAGTCCCTTGGCCTGGATTGAATCGGACACTTTAAAGGAAAAGATATGGGATACGGCAAGCTCCAGGCTTTGTGAACGCGCGGGTAGAAATGGTATGACTCTCGTCGTGCTTTGACCCATATATATATATATATATATATATTGTGTCTAATAACTTGGTTATACAGCCATGCCCTCGATGTCCCGGGAATTCACAATCCCAATGAACGCTGATTCCGCATTCCAGGTTACTCTACATGAGCCATCCCTGACATCCGACAACCTAGGCAACAAAACTTGGGTCTCCTCATATATGCTATCTAAGAGGCTTCACACTTTCCATTCTTCTGGTTCGGTTCCCATTTCTCATGACCAGAATCCTACACTACGGACTCTTGAGCTTGGGGCGGGTACCGGTCTTGTTGGCATATCTTTTGCTGCAGTATGGGGTGCTGCAGCCTCAGTCCATCTCACTGACTTGCCCCCTATTGTGCCTAATCTTACGCACAACGTTTCTTTGAATAGTGACCTGATTTCCAAGGTCGAATCAAGCATCACTACGGGCGTGCTAGACTGGTCCCTTCAGTTTGGCGTCTCTTTACAGAGTAACGAGAAGTACGATGTAATTCTCGTTGCAGACCCTCTCTATTCTTCTGACCACCCTAGGTGGCTTGCTCAGGCTATAGGGGTGCATATCTCTTCCAACAGTTCGTCAAGGCTCGTACTGGAATTGCCCCTACGTGAAGTTTACCTCCCACAGGTACACGAACTAAAGAAAAGATTGGACCATATTGGCTTATATATCCTCGAAGAAGGGGAAGAGATTGGCTATGATGACTGGGCAGGCAGGGATGGATCACCAGTGGAAGTCCGCTGCTGGTGGTCAATTTGGGCCTGGAAGTCGCCGGCATAGACGTAATGATTTAACGAAACAGCATAATAGATTTTGGATTTCAATAGACTTGTTTAACGAGCGGCAGGAGGATAAACTAAATACACCACCATGTTTCGTCATTTAATAATATCACTACAACTACAACTAGGCTCTCACCACTGTTCCTTTTTTTTTTTTTTTTTTTTTTCTTCTTTTTTTGCCCTCCTCCCTGGCTATCTTCCTTCGCTTTTCCCTTTAGTGTTCGATCCTGATCCTCAGTTTCTCGACATGTTTGGTAAGCATAGGGTACTTCATTCCCCGTCTGCCATCAGCTTTTCCAGTGTCTTTTTGCCGTGTTCAGTCAAGTCTGGATAATAGGTAAGGGAACGAAGATCCCTGAAAAAATCTGTTGCCTCCGGGTATTGATCTTTAACCTTGCCATGCATGATTTTCAGCCATCGTT